AACTCTTTTTAAAATGTATGGATGGGTTTTCTGGGTTCTCTGAGGTCTTTACCATTCATCCCATGAAGCTTACAGTACCTGGTGTGTTGGCACACTTTTGCTCTGGTCTGCTGGTCAGCAGCTCTTGAGGAGAGCTGAAAGAGGAGACTGGGCTGAACACAAAGCATTCTGTACAGGGGATGTAAGCAGAGCCTGTTCTAATCAATCTGCTTGCCCACCACAAAGGGAACCCTGGCTAAGGTTACCTTCAAGTCACAGCACCACATGGTGTTGGAGCTAGTGGGTAACCTAAGACTAATATGTGTTGAGGTGTGTGCACGTACACACACAAAGGTACACTCACAGATATGCCCATACAGTCTGTGCAGAAACACACAGGAAGGCACAGAGGCACAACCACAGGCACACAGGAACATACACACATTCAAACACCACCCACACTTTTATACCCATACACATCAACATATACACGCACACAAAGAGGTAGACAGAAAGATTGTGGGTGCACCAAGCAGGACCTGTTGCAGCAATGAGCTTGTCATCTTCTCTGGGAGAGACAAATCCTTCCCTCCCTCAGTAGTAAACTGGGCTTTCTCAGAATGTGGGCTTGTGTGTCACTGCCGGTCACAGGACCCTGACACACTTTGTGTGCAGTGAGAGTAGGAGGAGGGAACAAAGTCTCTATGGATTATCCCCCAGGCGAGAATCCCCAGGCAGTGTGACGGTCAGCCAGAGGCCTGTTGAGCTTTGTGTCAAGGAGCCAAAGTAGATACCACCATCACCAGTGGGTCAGGTTGTTCCCTGTGGTTACCGTGAGAACACAACTGTCTTTGCGGTGTGTCACAAACATCCAACAATCAGCGCTTCACTGAAACATCTCCCAGTGAGGCGGAGCTATTATTAGCTTAGGTACAGCAAAGCCTCTTAGAGATCTTTATTTAACCGGATTGGCTGACTGATGTATAGACACTTGAGGAGTGTGTGGCACACCAGGCTTTCAGGAACAGTGCAGGGGCTTTACAACCAAGGCCATTGATAAAACAACAGTACCACTACTTGATCCTCTCCTCTCCTCTCCTCTCCTAGAACCTACTGTCCTAAGGTGACTGGTGTTTGGCTCTGACAAGGGGGTTTCCCACCACCCACCCCTTTCCTCACACTGTTGGGTTTTAGGTAGCAGGCTAATCTTATCTCAGGGCAAGGAGAGGGCTGTGGGCAAGGTAACATGGTCGGCCCCTGTCTGACCCCCATCTGTGCAACAAATTATTAATTAAAGTATTTCTGATTCTGATCTGAAATAAAAAAAATGTTATTTCAACTTGCTAAAATCAAGCACACTAAATGAATGTTATACCACTGACACTGTACGTCAACCCAACAGAGGGATTTCTAATCTGTTATCTGAGGAGACTGGGAAAGAGACAAACCAGAGACAACTTACTGCTCTCATTACTATCACTGGGCCAACACAGAGTCTAATACAAAGTCCAAGACTCCCACAGCATAATATGCTTTTAAGATATATATTTTTATGTATCATACATTTCATCCAAATCCAACTGGTAGGACATACACTTCAACAACTTCACCTTCTTATTCTAAACAGGTTGTGATGTGACCACAGGCTACATAATTCCAGTGCCAGACACTATCAATGCCCAGGGTTCAACCTGCCTACATTAGTTTCGAGTTACTGCTGCTTTTTATAACACGTTTGACAGCATACCTGATTCTGCAATTGAAACTTTTCTTGTTTTTTGTTTTTTACAGTAATAAGTTCTAAATAGACCATTGGCTGATTAGCAGCCAGTCGATTAGTGCAGCCGTAATGGATCTTGCATCAGTTCATGCAGGACTCGTTAGCCCTGGGGCATTTCTTTAGTACGCAAGGTGTTGATACCTTTCCATGGCACATAATTGACTGATCTTTACAAACACCTCTTGCTTTCAGGTATTTTACCTTTAAACTCCTCATTATTCTCTACAGGTCCTACCTGCCACATGATGCTATTACTGGCTTGGTTGCTTCAGTCACATGCTGGTGTTGACTTGTGTGTTTTTGTGCACTAGCTCAACCACCCCAATCCCCCTATAATTTGCATTTCTTGACAATAAAATGTCTTTTCAGTGGCATCCTCTAAATATGTCTTCAAGTATGTTCCAGTATAATTGTATGTGTCTTCTTACCTCTGAGGAATTTGATTGCTTTCACTGTTACAGCTATATATATATATATTGTAATACAACATTTTTGAGATCAGAATGCACATTTTGGCATTCATTCTCCATCATTTCTAGCTTTCTGGCTCCTTAGGAAACTTTAACAAAATAAGCTACACCAGTGTCCTCACTGCATCCATCTCTTTGGTGTATATATATATATATGAAACATGTTTGACAAATATAGTATTAACGTACTGTATAATATTAAGGAGACGCAATTTTACTGTTAAACCCTGTTTCTGTTGGTAGTATTAACATAACCACCTGCTTGAGCTGTCCTCTGTCCATTTCTTTTTTATTTTTTTATTTAGTGAACTGTGCTAATTAAGTCATTGATGGTTCGCCTGTCACACCCATTTAGAAAAGCATCTCTATCAGGACAGCACATAGACACCTATAGTCTCTCTAAATTAGTCTCTAGGATAGTGGCTTTTGGAAGCTTTCCTTCTTTGGAGACTGGTTTTGATTGAAAAAATTATTTGGAAATGTATTTATTTTTATTGTTTTAAGTGTTGTTTTTGTCTTTTTTGTTCATAGAGGAAGAAGCATGAAAATAGATTTACTCTATCATCATCATGATTACAACCGATAGGACTATTTTGCTACACATAAAACAAATCATGTCACTATAATATAATCGGTGATGTTTTGGTTTTCTTTGAGCATGGTATCGTGTATAGTGCAGGAGACAAAGTTTCTTTTTCTTTTCTTCCCAGCCTCTTTCTCTTCCTCACGACTTTGTTGTCCTTCTCTTGCTCCCTGTCAGTCAGTCAGATGCTGTCGTCAGAGGATCCGCTGCTGGGTCTTGTGACAGGCAGGCAGGGCCAGTGTGAAGCCGAGCAGCTATAAATAAAGAGCTTGCTGCTGCTGCCTCTGTTGCTGCTGTTGGATAGAGACGATAGGAGAGCAGACACTAAAAACCTTTTTTTTTTTTTTTTTTTTTAACTTCCTTGAGACTACCCCTTAATGTCTGATTTGACAACGCTGTAATATCACTGGTATGTTGTTATCATTTAAAGTCACATGGAACAAATATGGGAACTTAAATGAACACACTACCATGGTCTGTTTCTCCGTGCTTGACAGTTTGACAAAGATTTTAGTTTTGTGGTAGTTAAGTTATATATTTATTCAGTTTTTCAGTTGGTTTCTTATTTGTAGACAGGTAGGCCCATTCAAGAATATGGGGAAGTGATGTGTAATGATTTCACAACTTTATCCTGTACAGACTATACTGTGGTTTTAACTACCGTAAGCTACAAATTTTATGAATGCTCATGGGCCTATAATTTCCCCCTGGTCATTTTGCAATTTTCTGAAGGATTACATTTTTTGTCTTTTCCTTTCACACTAAAGCAGAAGTTATTCACCTCGAAAGGCCAAGGACAGGACCTGACAGGAAAGCCGGTGTTAAATAATGCTTGCTTTGTTTTACTTTTTGTGTTACTATTTGCAATAGGTTATATGGTGTATTTTCTTTTGTTCTAAAGTTGAGTTTTGGTTAAGTGAGTTGTACTGCGCAAAAGTAAAGAATGAACTTGTTGAAGTTGTGGCCTCTGCTATACTTAGTGCACGACACATACAACTTAATTATGACAAATGAAAATCAGCATGAGAAAATAATTCTGATGTTTCTGGATAAATCTGATACATTCTCAATTCCTAATGTGTTTCTAATGTGAAAATGTCTCTGCATGTGAAATTAAATTTTCTCATGTGAAACACTGGGAAGAGGGGTTACTCCCAATGGAGCAGCAGTGCATAATCACTGGAAGTTTATCAATAACCTCTAACAGAGTAGTGCCAATGCGGACAATGGGCTCTTGTCTATTTGTTTGTGTGTGGGTGTGTGTGTTTGTGTGTGTACTTACTGCCTGTGCCGGATGACCTTTGGTATAAATAGCCTGCCGGCGCTAGCTGTGATGACAGCCGACAGCACGCACCGTTGTGTGAATTTGTTTCCTGAGTAGTGCTGTTCATCGGTTATCCCTCTTGGAACAAGGCCTGTATGACTGCCTGCTACCCAGCAACACTCTGGCCTCTAATTTCCTGAACCTGGGCTCAATTGCAAGCGCAAACTCAGGGCGCAACCGCACATGGGTCTGTGACCAAATAAATATATGCAATTTTTGGCAACCAGATGCCAAGTCCTAATTCTGGTATAGCTCAGTAAGTGGATTTATAATAATGACTAACTACATCTTCTCCTCTTATCCTTTTTAAAAGCAACAGACAGTTAAATAAGCCAGGAGGAGAGTCCAGACCACTTCTCTGTTCTCTTAATTCCAAGCCACAAATATCAAGCAACCCAAACAGTAATATACGACACCTTAAATATGCTATCTTGGTTGACTTTGGGTTGGCTTCATAATCACTGTTTCATTTTGGGTCTCATGTGCTGGATTGAAGAGCCAACACAAGCTCCATTCTTTGATGAAAATTATGTCCTTATTTGTTTTTCACTGGGTACTCTTGGCTGCTATAGTTGTGACTGATTTTCACTGTGATGGGGATGATTACAGGGTGGGTTGGATGTAAATAACCGATGTGTAAGCTATGAATACTAGTGTTTTTGTCTGATCTGCATAAACACAACCTTAGATGTACCACTATATTCTATACCATAAGTATATTTTGTAAATTTGTATTACTTTTTATTGTACTTCTTCATGAACCCAGTGAAGTCAAACTAAGGAACATTAAATGAACAGCAGTAATAACTGAAAATATTTTCCAGATTGCTGTATCTTAATCTTCCCTCCCCTTTCTTCTGCTAGATCTGGAGCCTGATGACAACACATCGTTCTACATCCTAAATGTGGGCCAGGCCCAGTCTATGGTCACCAACCACCAGTCTATTGGCCTGCCTCGTCATGGCATGCAGTCCCACTCGCAGGTCATCAGCACTTCCCCGCGCTTTCAGTCACACAAACCAGGATCTGAGCCTCCAAGCTATGAGGTACACGACTCCAAGTATGGCACCTCCCCCCTGCTGCCCTCTGCTCCTGTGGAGGCACCGAAGGCCTTTGAGTGCCCCAGTATCCAGATCACCTCTATCTCCCCCAGCTGTCAGCAGGAGATGGATGCCAATGAGGAGGATCTGAGGGCCAATGGCCCCGATGGGGAGTACCACGGTGATAGGCCCCTATCCAGAGACCACCTGTATCTGCCCCTGGACCACTCATACCGAGACTCTTCGCTCAGCCCTAGCCCATGCAGCAGCCTTTCCTCAAGGAGCTGGTTCTCTGATGCCTCCTCCTGTGAATCATTCTCACATGTCTATGATGATGTTGACTCAGAGCTAAATGAAGCGGCTGCCCGGTTCACCCTGGGCTCCCCTCTTACTTCCCCAGGTTGCATCTCCCCTCAAACCAGTGGCGGAGTTTTGGAGGAGCAGCCTCACTGGCAGCACCACCACCCTGCCTTTGTGCACCACTCCCACTCCATCAGCCTGTCACCCCGACAGTCCCCTTGCCACTCGCCACGCACCAGTGTCACCGATGAAAATTGGCTTAGCCCACGGCCACCTTCCAGGCCCTCCTCGCGTCCCACCTCACCCTGTGGGAAGAGGCGCCACTCTAGCGCCGACATATGCTACCCCGGCTCATTGTCTCCTCATCACTCACCCACACCCACACCAGGACCTTCACCTAGGGGCAGTGTGACGGAGGACACCTGGGTTGGCAGTCCTTCTGTAGGAATGTCACCCTTCCAGTGCTGCCCTTCTGAGGCAGACATCCCATCCAAGACAAGGAAGACCTCACAGGACAGAACAGCAATGCAGACTGGAAAAGGGGATCTGGGGCTAGATGACCAAGGAAATATGTCTCCTAATCTAGACTCCCCTTCAGATGAGGCCCTGCACAGCCTGAAGAAGGATGGGCCTGGGGAACAGTTCCTCTCAGTGCCCTCTCACTTCTCATGGAGTAAACCCAAGCCTGGTCATACTCCTATATTCAGGTAAATGTGCTGATGTCGAGGAGAATAAGCAGAAAAAAGTGGATTTTGCCATTAGCAATCTTTTATAGATTTAGCTCCATCTCACAGATGTAGTCATATAATCCAACTAAAGCAAATGATTCATCCTGATGTAGACAACTAGGGTTTTATCTTTTCAAATGTCACCGAGCACTTTCTCAACTAGTTGAAAGAACTTTCTGTTGCAATCAATTTGTTCTATTTTACTTCCTGTTTGAATTTGAGAAAGACAATCATGACTGCAATATTAGTGTGGAATAGATTCTTGATGCATACATCCTGAAACTTAAAAGTGTTTTTAACTTGGAGCCAAAACCTGCTGTGGCGATAACTGCCTCTTTATCAGTATTTTTGTGAATTATTGATGCAATCACCGCTTGGCAAGACAGCACATGTCGTCAATCTTAAAAGCAATTAGTAGGTCAAGGCTAAACAATAGACCTCAGTGGTGAATTGTTTTTGATAGTGTTGAGGGCTGTCATAAAGATTGAAAACCCCTTTTGATCTAGAAGAGAAGTGTAAACATGACAATCCAATAAATTAATATCAAATAGCAAGGTGGATGACTTATAGGCCCGTTGATGGCACTCTGCCGATCAATGTTCAGCAAAGGGGGAACTTTGAGCTTTGTATCAGTAGTATAAATCTGACTTAGTTACACAGTAGGATACATTTTTTAGTGTGCAGAGGGAAACACAGGGACACACATCACACCAACTCTTCCAAACACACGCACACATGCAAATAGACAGGAACAATCTCCACATTAAAGAGTGATGGGTGCAATCAGAAACTCATAGTGGACTTTTTTAGGAGAGGAGTGTGCTATCTGTTCTCCAGTGTGTGCAGCAGATGAAGACATGGCCTTGTTTGTGTGCGTTGGCCCCTAGCACTGTAAATCAGCACAGGGCACATATGGCAAGGGGACCACCACACACACACACACACACACACACACACACACACACACACACACACACACACACACACACACACACACACACACACACACACACACACACACACATAGACCTAACACTCTCCAGCTCTATTATGAGTCACCATTTGATCTTTGCATCCTTGCCCTTGTAAGTGAAGTTTCCTAAGGCCATGGCTAAGACAGTGACTGATTAATGTCTACATTGCTGTAGGTTAGGGGCTGTATCATAAAGAAAACAACAACATTGCCTTTTTTTAAACTATGTTGTTTACTCTAATTTTGACCTAGAAGTATTTCCTTCCACTAATTTCTACTAAAATTATTGTACCACCCCCAACCTTCCTTCCATAGTTAGTAAAATACAGGTTGAACTTAGAACAGATTTCAAATCTTCAGGTGTGACTTCTATAGCACAAAGTCAAGTGGTGTAAGCTCATGTCTGCCATAAGATAAAAGGTAGTTGAGTTGCCTATATGCATGCACGTGTGTGTTAGTGGTGTTTTAAACAGATGGCCCAGATGGAATGGGTGTGATTGGGTTAGAATGGGTGGGATAAAAAATTGGTGGGGTGTTCAGACACTTATTTTAAGTCTTCTCACGTCACGCCTTACTCCCTGAGCTGTCTACAATGAGATATTAATAAACTCTAATGAGTTGGTTGCCAAAACACTTTATTCAAACAAAAGACCAGGATTACTCTGTGGAAAATACATTATGTACAGCTCTTGTCAGTAAGCAGAGCCTAGGCTAGAAGTGGTAATCAAAAAAATAGTCTAAAAAGTAGCCACTACATCACTTGATCGACTGAATGAACTGTTAGCATTGGCTGTATTTTTTGTTTTTGGACTGTGAAAGTGGGAGTGACAGAGAGAAATAATTAAACTGAATAGGATAACCATTAGGACTAAAAATGCAGTTTTATTAGTTGCTAGCATTTGAGGTACTAATGGTATTATTGGTTAGAGGTTACATGTATGCTTACCATTAATCCATGAGGGAACCAGTAAAGATGCACTAGTTTTCAGGGAGTACTTGTACTAGACTTTTGATATAAAACTATAAGAGAACAGCATAAACATACATTGTTTTCATTCATGCAACATGTGCAAGATAGATGCAAGATTACCTAATTTACTGGAAGAAAATGATGCTACTGGGACTGCTGAGACTATAGAGAAGACTAGGTGGGTTTTAGCAATGTGATGGGACCGGTAGCCACTACACCAGGGCGTAGACATTTGAGAAAGGTTATGTTCTGTCAGGACATAGGCTAATGCTCCGTCACAAAGCTCATATTTCCTCTGTCCTCCTCTACTCTTGTTACCGTAGCAGCCATGCAAACCCACACTTCCTGGGTGGTTATGTCATGGCTGCCGGGAGGAAAACATAAGGGTTAGGATGCGTCTATTACACCGTGTTAGAGTGTTAGATCTTAGATAGAGCTGCTATCAGGTGAAAACTGTGTTTGAAAATCCTGCTTAAAAGGACTGACTACAAGTCTTTGTTGACTATTTGAACATTACAGCAGACTATACATTCATCATCGTCAGCACAGATAGACAGTGTTAACTTTTTTTTAAAGCAGGATATGAGAAAACACAGCAAGTGAACAGAAAGTGTTCATGACAACTATTTGGGTTATATAGCCTCACATATGATTTACTCAGCCTGGCTAGTAGTCAAGTTAGGGTTCATTTATGTAACAAGTTACAACCTAAAGTGGTTTTAGGTGACATTTTCATGTCATATGCGGTAGGAGAATCTGTAAAATATAGCTCAGTTAGATTTGTAACCACAAAGCTACATTTAGCTTCTCAAAACATCTACAAAATATCAGACACATGCCTTTTCATTCCAAAATGCAGCCTTTTCTTTGGATTTGGTGCCAGTCTGTAAGGCAGTTTATGCAGTGAAATGGCTCCACTGAAAGCCTGACTCACATGTCTTTAATTCAGTCTGATCAGATTGGTCTGAATGTAGCCAGCACTTGACAGGCATTTGGAAAGGGAAGAATTAAGGGAGTAAGCCATGCTGGCTAAAACTTTACAAACTTTCCCCTAAAAATTATTTCTACTGTCAAAGATCTATCATGCAGTTTAGACTCAGTACGTTTGCATGCTAGGAGCCTGTACCGCCTTGGATAGAGCCAAATAAAAGTTCATGCCACCGTGTGACAGGGGGCACAAAGAGCGAGAGAGAGAACATTATGGTAGAGATCAGTGTGTAGCGTAGGGCGTCTGCCTCTTGGCCCATAAGACAACACGAACCACAAAGTTGCAGCTGCCCACAGTACAAAATCAACTCACTGACTCAGACCTAACATAGAACACAGCCATAGACATACATACACACATGCATGGACACAGTGAGAGTGTGCATGCATACATAGGCACACAGTTTAATTTATGATTGCGTATACTGCTGTGCTAAAAAAACAATGGCACTTTGTAACTGCTGCCAGACAAAACACCTGGGTGACACATAATAGCTTATGCTGCCCTACAGTAGGCTTCTTGGATCATAAATAATTAATTGTGTACATTGTCAGCGTGTGACAAGGGTTTACATTGTGGCTTTTAATACAATTTAGTACCTTATCAAGTTGAACATATGTACTGTAGTAGTACAGTACAGATATTACATGAGTAGAATGTGAGTAGACGTAAGTAAACCAATAATGTAAGCCATGTAGACCATTAATGTAAAGAAAACTTAACAAACTGTGGATGTTTTGGAAATTTCTGTTGGTAACATTTGTAGCTGTCATACACATAATGATTCTGACAATGACAGATATATAAAGATAATTATGATAAAAATGACAAAGATAAAGATATTGATAATTTTTGTTAGTGTCATAAGAGGCATATTCCACCATATTTCATTTGGTTCAGTATGTCTATATTGAAATACATTTTGGTCCAGATTACTTTTCATTTTGGGCATTTTGGGAGAATTTGCAATATACTCCAAAATCATTATTTTGAGTGGATTGTGGGGATTTTACTTGAATATAATTAATTAAATTCTAATCAACAACAATAAATACAACAACATTGGAAAAGGTTACGGCCTGGTTGATGCTAATAGTTGATGCCAGTGTTTACAAAATGTTTTGGGGATAAACTGAACTAATGCACTCAGATGGAGAGGCCCAGTTTCTCTGTGGAGAAGGCCATTGAGTGTTTTATTTTCGAGTGCAGCTGTTCAAATATGATTGTGGCCTACACAGATAAAAAAAAAGAGGCAGGGAGGAAAAACACACAATGCCAGCCCGTGGGGTGCACTACGCATAAAATATACACTTGTACAGTATACACACAGACTCACACACACACACACACACACACACACACACACAGCGTAATTAACCACTGTGTGACACACTCTCATCCCACCCACCACCATTCACTGACCCACAAAGACGACTCACAAAGAAAAGCCCCCCTTAGAAAATGATTCACCCTTATAATCTTAATATGACCTATTACAAGTGTTATGTTTAAGAACAGGATTAATGCATGTGGGCATTCCAGTGATTCACTGTCTGGTGGGACTAAGTATACTGCATGTCATACCCCCATTTACACCTATTACACTGTCTCAGACAATATAGGGGAATACCACCTTCTCAGCTTTTGAATGTTTTCAGACAGCCTTAAGGTTGTTGTCATCATCCATAAAGTAAAGCGAGAGGTTGTCTAGCTTGACCCTGTGAGCTTTGATGTCATATGGATTACTGTGTCTGTACAAATTCACAATCATTTGAAATATGGAAAGTGTAAAGGTGTAGGAGTACCCAAGCAAATTTTCTGAGGGAAAGTTTTACTGTTAAAGCTGTTAAAATGTTCTTTCCTCATCACTGACAAGATTCTATGCTCTCTTGGTCCTAAGCTTCAGGCCAGTTTGTTATTAAATTATATGCACCAATTACTACAACCACACATTTTTCCACTGTATGTTATAATTGTTTCATATCAAAGCTCTAATATACTCTTCCTCTTTGTGTGGGTGGGTGTGTTCATTCTTGTGGTATTCTCTCCTCAGAACCTCCTCACTGCCTCCCTTAGATTGGCCGCTGCCAAGCCAGTTTGGGCAGTATGACCTGAAGATAGAGGTGCAACCCAAAGCCCATCACCGAGCGCACTATGAGACCGAGGGCAGCCGAGGAGCTGTCAAAGCAGCGTCCGGTGGCCACCCAATTGTCAAGGTAACAAAGTTCGGCATTTTCCCACAAGTTTGGGGCACTTACTGCTGCTCAGTCATAAGTAATCCTTCACCATTTTGTAGGTTAAATCTGATGTCTTTACCATACTGAAGCTTAAATTTACACCAGAGGTCAGGACTGATTTATTGTCTGTGTTGACGTGATGCTGGCCATGCATTGGTAAAGTCAACCCCATAGCCAAGATGTCAGCTCTTGCAGCCTTCATTGATTACATCAAAATTTAGCAACAGCTTCCTGAAATACAGGCTGTTCGCAGGGAGGCCCTTTTGCCTGTGAGTGACTCACAGAGACATCCTTCATACTTATGATAGCAATATTTGAATGATAAAACTAATGCACTATTGGACTAATTGTTCAACCAGACATGTAGTTGTTGTGAATGAGCATTACGTTTAGGGTTTCATCCTACATAGTTGCATGTGTGGATTGTCACATGGACCCTCTCCCACAGCAAGACTGTCAGTCAACCTGTTGAGGCAGGAAGACAAGCAGGCAGGCATGAGAGCTGCCACTGTAGCCCAGTCAGCTGGTCTGTCATTCGATAGCACCTGTGAGAGACTAGGTGCTATCATAGAGCTATGGCTGCTTTTCTCTCTGACTAGTGAGAGAGGGAGAAAGATAGAGAGAGCGGAAGATTTCAGTCCCATTAATATTTCAAGAACGCAGTGACTAGCTTCCTTTGTGTGTATGATTAAGACGGGGCCGAGTTGGACCGTGACCATTGTTGTGGAACCCAGCAATGGCTCAATGAGTTCAGACTGCCAGTTCGGTCAGCTGTCCAGTCTGTCCTTCGTATATCTTGCACACTTGCATCTACTCTACTAGCAAAGCAAAATGTGGATAAATGTGATCTTCATCTTGTTGAGTTTTGTTTGTTTAAATACAGTATATTAGTGGTCCCAGGTGCGCCATTGTGACACCCCACATGAAAGAAGAAAGGTTCTTGAAAATGTTATTAATATCAGAATGCAATATATTCTATATATTCTACATTTAAAAATGTATTTGAAGCACATCCAAATGTGTGTGTATTTATTATTAGTTTTTTGTTATCATTGGGTGTAGGCGACTTGTTTCGTCATTGCTTTGGGTGGGAAGTAGGTTAGGCCTCAGGCTATCTCAGTCACCGCTCATTATGCACAATATATAAAAGATATAAAAATGAAAAGAAATACAACAATCAAACAGCTGTGGACATGAAATTTACTGAAACAACAAGGAAGCCCAAATGACTGCCATTTGTTGCTTTAGAAACAGCCCATGTCCTCATACATTCAGTCATGCAGGCTCCCTCCAGGCCAATCATTAACCATTTCAACCTCAGTTAGACCAAGATTCTATCCTGCCATATGTGAGGATGCATAATTTAGCTGTCAAATGTTTTTCAACCAAGTGTTTGCCATGCTTGCCCTCATTCCTCATCGCCAGAGGGAAATGGTTGGTTATAGCAGACGCTACTAGTGTGTAGAGAGTTTATATCTTAGGACTCAAACTAGGCAATTTCAAAGTTCAAAGCTTTACTGTAATGTGAAGACAGTCTCTGGTTTGTTTGCTCCAAACAATATTTTTTTTGTTGTAATTGTAATATTTTGTCATGCAATTTTTTTTGTTTGTTATTATGGTTATTAGTTTTTGTTGGGCTAAATACTAATAAAGACTAGAATTGAAAATTAATACGATAGCAGTTTAGATCAAGGAGGCAAAAACAGATGATAAGCCACAAGAGTTAGGTTTACTCCCACTCATGTACTTTTTTTTGTAGATGAGCAAGGTTTACAGATTGCTTTGTTCTGTTCTTGATACATTGTTATACAAAAAAACTCCTATTAAACCTGCACCTCGACCTGCACAGATAAAAGTGAAAGAAGTCAGTGTTTCCTATGTATTAGCACTGTGCTGAAAATGAAAATCAAATGTATTTCTGCTGGAGCGCTACTTTCATGATCACATTGTTGTCACGGCCAGAGGGAGTTGACAGAGCGAGAGAAGCACACAGACAACATTTGCTTGTCATGAGCAGCGGTTTGCAGAACCTTTGCGCACAGAGAAAATGTGTGGGTGAATGAGTTTTATAAGGGAGGGAGGGCTGAGCAAGTGAGTTTGATTAGGAAGTATATTTTCTTTAGAATTAAGTGTGTGATATTAAACTAAAAAAACACTAATAATGAGCTGGCTATGTGAGGATAGATACTATCAGCACTTGTCCAGCAGGTCTAACAGTCAGTCTTTGTTTACTAAACACCCACTCCTCTATTGTTGGTCCTCTTAGCCTCTTTTTGATGCTCTGTGCAAAAAAAGTACCATACTGAAAGGTCGTTTCTTCACCCTGTGATGTCATTATTGTTATTACAGAAACACGTTTACTTTGAAAACCAACACACATGCATTGTGGTTTGTATTTTTGTTTGAGGTCATCAGAAGAACACGCAGAGATGCTGGATATATTCTTAGACCTATGTTAAAATTAACAGAAAAACACGTCAGAGGGAATCTCAAAGTCATTCAGCCACTGTTTTGACTGGGTTAACAAGCTTGCACGTATCATGTTTCACAGGTGCACTGTTGGTGTTAACCAAGCTAGTCCCTTGGGACACAATGACACTGGTGCCAGCATGTGTGATTGCAGCTTCTCTGCCACAGAATTTGAATACTTAGATTGGACGTATACTACCAAATATAATTTTTTTTGCAGGCAACATTAAGGAGCTTTTCTTTGTTATGATGGTAAACATTAGTATACAGTAAGAGCTATAGAAAATAGGCATTGACTGAATACCTTTATGGCCTTTATTTATTATTCCTTTATTTATCTTTACGTCATTCAGTCCACATTCAAAGCATGCTTCACTTCCAAGGTTTAATAATTTTGATCTAAAATACTTTGATACACCAGCAGCTGCCGTTTCTACAGATTTTACTTCTACCTTGGCTGTAGCCCTGCGGGTCCTCTTATTCTCCTTGGGTCTTGACTCTGGTGGTGTGATGTCACCAGATGACGGCATAGCTGCCATCTGGACATGGTGATGACTTCTTTTTGTGGCCACACTGTTGCCCAGATCAATGCACCACTGAGCTGCTGTGTCAACAGAAAAACAAGAGAATGTCTGAGTAGGGAGCTGTGGGTCTGGTCTGGTTTACATGTGTTATACATGTTTGAGTTGCACTGTTACCAAGGGAAAAATCTTAAGTCGGAAATTGGCGGGGACCAACTGGGAGGTTTGCTCCTATTTGTATCCAAATGCACACAGTTTGTATATAAGCATGTTTTGTTTCTGCTGCATGGCCTTAAACAACGAGTGGGAAGGATTTAGTGGCATCTAGTGGTGTAGTTGCAGATTGCAACTCCCTTGCTTGCTTTATTCTGGGCTACTACAGAAACATTGTAGCCTCCATGGAAGGCAGCCTTCCCAGGAGTGTCTCATTCGCCATTTTTTCCCGATGATAGTGAAGTCACAACCCGCCCTACTCTTAACTCTGACAAAGAGTTTAACCTGGGGCCATTAAACAATAAAAGCAGTCATACAGGCTTAGTAGTATATGCATTTAAAAAAATAAAATGATATGTGTGCATGTATATAGGCTCAATAAAGCACATGTATCGGATCAGTACTCTGTTTAGCTATCACAATTGGTATCAGGAAGGAAAAAACCTACCTACAGGTAGCCTACTATCCACCTGATCATTTTGATGATGACAATTTTTGGGAGCATCAAATTTCCCTCTTTCATACACTGGAGTGAATGTGACCCTCGGTGCCCGATAGCGATTGCGCACATGACTCTTACATTTGATTTCTTTATCTGGCCCGTTCGAAGCAGGCAAACCAGGATTTCTTGGCGTAGACATTTGTATTGTAGTCGAGAATAAAACAATGTACAATAAAATTTGCAGGTGGAGCCCTCAGCAGCAGGGAATAACGCACCATATGCGCAGTCCAATAAAGTACACTAGCATTTAACCCAATGCCATGGAGTTCTGTCGCATGAAAAATGCTCTGAAAGTGCTTCGGTAGCTGCAATGCTCAAATTCTTTTTCATTGGTTTACTCAGTTTTCCCTCTTCCTTCTCCCTGCAGAGATGTTCTCTGAGTTGAAGTGTCAAGAAGGTCACATTTGATGGATCTAAATAGTTCTCAGTTGAGTAACCTTTGGTTGCAGTTTTGAGAGGTGTGTATACTTTACTTTGGAGCTCAAACGACTCTTTTTTAGCAGATGGAGTACTGGCTTCAAGTAGTCTCTTTCACAGTAACATAATCTGTACCGGAATTCGCAAACTCTTACAGACAAGCCAGGGCTTTGTTTACAAACTCAAGGATGTTTCTGTCCTGCCATTTAGGTACCGATGCCTGGTTTTCTTATGTTCGACTACGAGCTATTGACTTTTATTGCTCTATCACCTTTAGTTGGGAGTCCCAGCAGGTGTTTCACTGATCAGATTGTGGTCAAGCAAATTATGTAGAGCTACTGTAGGGTTGCAAAATTCCAGGAATTTTCAAAGTTGGAAACTTTCCATGGGAATTGTGGGAATATATGGGAATTAACAGGAATAAACGAGAATAAACGGGAGTTAATGGGACTAAACTGGATATTTTTAGTATTACTTGTTATAATACTGTTAATCTATAACAGGGAACTTGCATGTAGTTGCAGGATAATCTTGCTTAAAACAACCTGATTTAATGCAACTTCAGTTGAATGTCCTCCCTATATTCGTCAATGACATGCACACGCAGTAATCTGCATAGGCTACTACATACCTACATACTTGCCAACATTTATTTTTTAAAATATGGGAGTTTTTTTCTTTTTTTGGGGGGGAGGGGGTTGAATACATAACCCATTGCTATTAACCTATTTGGGTTAATTGTATTGCATGCATATAACCATAACCATGGCCATAGTACATCAAAGGCAGCATGCTAGCTACCATCATATGTTAAGCTAAAGGTCAATGGTTTGGGCTACTACTTATGGTGCTATCCA